GTGTAAAATAGGAAGTCGCAAATAATGGCCGAAAAAATTCGGTTAACGGAACGAAAAATGATCTGACACGCGAATTTTATTCCCGCCGTCAGAAATTAAAGCGGACGTAGCTCGATTTTTCTCACCCGCTCGCACCGTCTCGGCCTGAGGCTCGCCTTTAACAGCGCGCGAGACAAAAAAATTTCAGCGAGCTCGTTTCTCATCCGCGGCTATACCACCGTCCCCGGCCGCGGCTTTTCTTTTCTTGTAATCCGGCACGTAACAAACGATTCGCAGTGTGTCAACTTTCAGCGGAATTTTCCTCTTATTACCATCACGCGTGTATATTTAACGGCCGTATTAGTACAGCCCCTGATACACAATGAGAAGGAGAATTTTAATTGAGGACTATCGCGAGCGCCTAAATACGTAAGAGAAAATAATTAAAGCGGATCATAACAATTCTCGAACTAATTTTTAATTTCTTCTCAATATAATTATATGGCTAAGTATATAGAAAAAACAAAACATTTTGCTATATAAATTAATGTTAGGAATATTTTTTTATTCTAGAATTATGTTCTCTTTTTAAGTGAATAATTTATAGATAAAAAGGATAGTATAATAGAAAGAATGAATGATAATATATATATATTAATCTATTGTATGTGTGCTATAGTTAAATGATCATCAGATTATCTAATTCGAAACTGATAACATTGTTTCGATTACAATCATGTTTTAATGATGACAAAACTAGATTGCAATCTTGCTATAATGGTGAACTGGCTACATTTTTTAGCGATACATATAACTACTTTTTGCTAAATAAACTTGACAAATCAGATTCTTATCAGAAAATATTGTGAGAGAGAGAAATAATAGCTTTGCGCCCTGAATTATTTCGGAAAATTAATATTCACGTGCTTTTCACACAAGAGCGTTTAATTATTTAGAGTCATCTATCTACGTTATTTGTACAGAAAAAAAATTTCAAGTTTTTCCGAGTCGTTTAATTTTTATAAATATCGCCAACAACTTTGTATTTGTTGCAGGTACCACACGAGAATATTGTCCAGCTTCAGCCAATGACGCCCACGAATAGCCAGGGCATTCCGAACAGTCTGGGGCTAAGATTGGAGGCTGAACACCAACACTTCGTGAGCGACGGCAAACTAATAAAGATCAAATGCATCGCCGAGGTGGGCTCACACAAGTACGAGACCGAGCGCACAGTGCAGATAGCATACGTAAACAATCAGAGGCTCAGCGCCGGTGATCATATGCATGCGTCCGCGCGTAACATCCGCACCGATCTTCTAGCCAAACTGCTGACGGCGATCCTCGCCCTCGTCCTGCTCACGACGTGACCTACCGGTTTTCTTCTCGCGTGAGTCGGCTTCCACGAACGGAAATCATGTTGCAACGCGCGCGCGATTGCTTCAGGAACGCGCGGCGGATTCAGTGTCAGTTGTCCGATCCTTACTTATATAAAAGTTAGGCTTAGCTATTAAGCGACGATACACTCAACGATCGGCGATTAATCGATCAACCGGCTCGCTCTCGATCTGAACGCGCTCCACGACGACACCATCATTGGCAAGTTCTTTAGAAGCAACACATAGAAGATGAAAATCTTGTTGAGATAAAGCGATCGTAATGAAAGAATAAATTCTTACTAATTATTATAATGCGGATTAATTATTTAGTTGGTGTTCGAAAATATTATTACATTAATTTTATTATTATTTTATTCCATATTGTTGTGTAAATTATTGTTATATTTGATTTATCGATTCGTATGAAGAGTCGAGGGATTGTTTGGAATCGATATTACTGCAACGTTAATTTTGTAGCTAGAAAATTTGTTGCACGAGCATCCTAACATATTTTAAGCGACTTCCTAGATCAGTATTTCCCATTAGGCCGAATACTCAACCGAAAGTTTGCCCATAATTTTCGCGGCGGTTCCTCTCTCTCTTCGATTTCTCCTTATCATATTTAACTCTCAATCCTTTTAACGAGTTCCAGATCTGGAAGACTCTTTAAAGTTCTCATCGATTACGGCCCATAGTCGTCATTAACTTTTCATTCGAGTTTTAAGTTTTACTGCTAATAGCAAATGTCGCGAGTCAGATAGAGCGAGCGCAAAGTTGTCGAATAATAATAACTATCAATTGATACCTCGACAATTTAAGTTTCCAGATTTATATAATTCTTATCCTCCTGGTACTTTCTCTCTTACATTCGTTTCAAGTTCTCGACATTTATAAATAAAATTTAGAGCGCGAATTTGGAAAGTTACACTTAATTCGTATTTTACTCTATTTTCGTAATAGAGTTCATTCTACTTTACTCCGACAATTACCGTTATGGGGTTTAGACAGAACTAACTGTACTTCATACAGCATACACGTTATACCGCGGAGATATAAATTCTGGTGCAGCGCGTGCAAATTCCGTTTTACGACACGCGTGAGATTAACTATCGAAACGCATATAAGTCGCCACACAACTACGAAACACCCCTGCGAATTACGTATAAATCAATAAATGGATTTACTACGCCGAGGTACTAACAAAAACGAGATTAATAATTCGGATATCTCGCATTGCAAAATTGCGAGTGCGCGGTTGCATTTATAGAGATACGAATAATATTTTATTGAAAAAGAGGATCTCTCTGTTATACAGAATCATGTAAAAGTTTAAATTCTCGATTATTTCGACAAAAACAATTTGTACGACGTGGTACGACGTGAATAATGATTCAATAGGAACGAAAATTCAACCGTAATTTTGCCGTAATGAAAAAATATAATGTCGAATTTAAAATTAGTACATCAATATTTTAGTGCCAGCGCGAAATTCGTTCAGCAAAAGATTTTTAATTAACAAGTCAATGGAATTTTTCTCTTTGGAACTTTTTGAAAAATTTAATCAGCCGCGAAAATACTATATTTTCCATATCCGCAAATGAAATTACTTTTCAATACGCGTGATTATCGTTTCAAAGAAACAATATTTTTATACGATCGTAAAGTTGCATAACATTTTTCATGGATACACAATTGGGCGAAAAATTTGGCGATCTCTGAGCGATTTCTACACGTCACGTACGATCATCCGACAAATCCGACGGATTTTCACTTCGCCAGATCTAGCCTGACCGTTGCAGTTTCATGTGTTTCGTCGCTGAAAGCGTTTGGTCGCGAGAAGCGAGCTCGGGCGTACGAGCACGAAGAAAAGAAGAAAATCCTAAGAGAGGATTCTGCGAGAGAGGCGGTCCATTCGACCGCCCTTCAGAGAGGACGCTACAAAAAGAAGAGCAAGCGTGACAGGAAAGTAAGAGATTGTGAGTGAGAGAGCAAGTGCGATACAGAGAAAATGAAACAAAGTTCGCGCGAAGAAGCAAAGGAAAAAAATACAACAGGACGAACAGGGAGATACATTGTGTGTGATCCAGGCGGAGATGCGAAGTTTGACTTCAAGAATGAAAGTAGGTGTGATATTATAGTATCTAAGATACGAGACTCGTCTGTGTATTCCAAAGTGGCCATCTCCGTCTTTGATTCCTCTCTCTTGCTTTTCGAAATTATTAACTGTATAAATTTTTCATTTCGCTGTGAACAATTATTTTTTTCAGCAAATTTATAGAATTGTGTTACGAGATCTATTCATTGTCTCATCTAAATTCATATAAAGGTTAATAATAAAATGAGTAAAGGGTACATTTAAATTAACAAACAATAAAATAACAAATTAAAATTTTTCCTCAAATTATTGAACCAATAATTCCGTTCGCTGATCATGTTTACTTGATAAATGCAGATTACTATCGTGAATACCGAAGATGGCCGATTATCGAAGAAAGCGAGTAACTAATGGAAATAAATAGAATGCTGAAGCGCGTGCACGAGTGAAAACGTGAGAATTAACGCGACTGGCCTCGCCGCACATATCACAACACCAACATACACGTTAACACGTGCTTAACACACACACACGACAACATCGCGCACATACACATACCGACGCGCGCAGGTACGGCTGGATTAAGAGATGGAAGGAGCAACCAACCCCCGCAGGGTGCGCAGGATACGCATATATCACGAGACGATTTCCTTTTGATCGCTATCGCTCATCGACCCGAGCGTTATTTATTGGTTGTAATAATTTACGAGTTCGTGAGAGAGAGAGAGACACGCTCTACCGCGCGCATAAACGTCGCTTCCGGCGATATTCAACCGTATCATTGTACTTGTATGTGTAACGTCTATGTGAAATCCATTCGCAAAACATTTCGGCGCACTTATCCAAGATCCATCCATTCCCGATGAAAGTGCCAACAATTCTTCTCTCGCGTATCGGTTTTTCCGCATATCGGACGTATTTATGCGAACGACGAAAGAATTGTAAAAAATGATGATACACAGCATGCTCATGATATGAGAAAACAGAAAAGATATTTTCGAAAAATGTGTTCGTGTGTATAATTTCAAAGCACATTTTTCATAATTCTTATTTCATAGAGATGTTCAATCGTTTGTTGATTATTGTTTCACCTTGTGCTATACCTAACAGGATTATCTTAGAATTAGAGAATTAGATGTTTAATACCTAGAGAGTTCTCTTTAACAATAATAGATGATATCGTCATGTATCATCGTTAAGTATCAGACATATAATTCTCTAAAATAATCCTGTTAAGTAACACGATTTGAAACAATAATTAATAATCGGCCGAATATCTCAATGGAATAAGAATCATGAAAAATGGCTTTTCCCATTTTGAAATTATTCACACACATTTTTCGAAGATGTCTTTTCTATTTTCTAACGTATTTACAATAACTATATACTTTGGTTTTATAGATTTATGAAATTCATGCGAGACCAAAACTTGCGGAGGACAGTTTATTCTGTCAAATAAACCGAGTAAAGATATATTGAAGATGGAATAAGTATAGATTGCTCGTTAATAATAAACCATTCATCGACACAACTCAAGTTTACAATAAAAGCAGTTCGAAAAGCTCGGATTGACGCATCTCGATTAAAGTATCATTTAATTTTACAGTCATTATTGTATTTGTGTAATTATTACTTTTTTGCAATTTTGAAATATCAGAGAAAATTTGCTACTAACTTGATATCGCTACGGTTAATTTCTCCAATTAAGCAATTTGTATAATCTCATGAATTATTTTACGCAATTTATATATACATGTATATCAAAACAAATATTAAGTATTATATTACCATAAAATTTATTTTCCTAATTAAATAATTTAATTGCAACGTTATTTTCTCCTTTACAAAACATTAATATCGTTTTCTATGTCCAACAAATAATTCCATATGCGCTTTGTTAATTTTTACTTGGCAAATGCAAATAATTCGTAATAATATTCCAGAAAAATATCCTAATTGTGTCAGTAAAATTATATGATATTGTTTAAACAGTATCAACCGATCGTGAGCATAAGTTACGTTGTCGAAAGTTATCTATATTTGCCTAAAGTTATTGATGTCGCAAAACGCAGCTGGTCCCAGGTAAATGCTTAAATCGACAGTGGTAAGAATTTTCTTTGTCGGTCGATCGATATCCCAATTTTACGATCCGTCGAATCGCGAAAGCCGGAAGCAGATTCGAGGATCCCATTTGCCGGTTAGATCCTTCGTATTTTTTAGAAAGACTTCAATGAATTCTTAGTAAACTTAAACACGGTAAATGTTTTCCATTTCGACGATGAAAGCTATTCTCTTCAAAATTTTTGTGTAAAAGATTTTCTATTTTTGTGACAAAATTAGACTCTCGATCAAGAGAGTTCATTACTCATATATAAAATTAATCATAGATATATTTCTCGACCTGCTTTAAAATTATATATGGATTAGTACAATATAAATTCAGAACTAGCGCTAATTAATAATTACTTGAAAAAAATAAGAATTTAATAAAAAAAATTATGTTCTTTTCAAAATTCTGTGATTGGAAGGAAAAGGAAACTTTAAAATACAGATAATAAAAACCTGCAAGATTTATCTACGAAGGTATTTTGATAGCACAGATCGATATTTCAATTTTACAGTCTGTCGAGCATCAAAATTCGAAGACGCGCGGGACTTCAACCGAAGAATGTCCTCGAGATCCCGCTCGGATCCCGCAAATTTGCGTCTCGTCGTAGAATCCTTTACTGGATTCCTTGAGGAAACTTTATCTTTCTTCGTGTGTTGTTGAATCTTATTTTTACGAATGAAGCAAAACTCAGAACAATATTTCCCAGAAAATTTACAATACATTTTCTTTGTTTGTCATCAATTAAATATACAAACCCGTGCAAAATTCATATCTCAAACATAGAAAACTGCTGATCTCAATTCAAGATATTCTAACATTCTTCAATTTCCTATATTTCTCAATTTATATCTGTCAATGTAAAAAATAAAAAGAATGTGCGCAACTGAAATCTATCGTGATTATAAAATAATCTTCATCAAGAAACCTGCCATCTTTGCCATCCAAGTAAGCACAGCCACTGCCATTAATCGGGAACATGTATTAAAAAAGTATTTCGTAAAATTTTTAAGATAACTTTAACAAAAAAGATCCGCATTAAAATTCTCATCATAATCAACTCACAGAAAGATGAGACTCACAGAACATCTAAAAAAAAAGGCAATATTAGAAAATCAAAACAATAGTGTTTAGACAATATTAGATCTTATTAAAATCAATCTTCTTTGAGGAAAAAAGAGAATAAGTGTGAAGCCATTTTTACAGATCTACATATGTCCGCACACGCTGTTCAGAGGTTAACAGTCGTAAACATTTCTTTTATTCGCCGAGCTTCATCCGAGCGTGTCGGTGAATCCGATAAAATCGTGGATCGAAGAGCAAAGCGATAGCCCTTTGTATGAGCGCGATCAATACCTCGATTTTATGGACCGACGAGCTCTGAAAGCCCGCGAAAAGCTCGCGTATTCCGAATGCGTTCTCTTTCTCTCTCTCTCTCTCTCTCCCTCTCTCTCTACTTTGCACGTTTTCTCGTTTCCTTTCTTTACTCGATCGCACACAAATGCCACGATCGCGGTACAAAGTCCGACGGCCTTAAGAAGTCCAAGAATAAGGGGCACATATTTTTGCAACTTTACGCATTTAAATTGCGTAAGCTTAGTTTTGATAACGATCAAATTATCGATTGTGTCTGCAAATCCTAATTTTACACGAGCACCCTGCGGACATGCACAATGTAACCGTAATTACGCGCGCGCACCAACACAGGTATACATAGTACACATAAAACATACGCTGCCGGTCTACGAGAGCGTTAGATAGGAAACAAAGAGCCCCTCTAGCGATACAGCGTTTAACATGTAAATCGATAAAGTATTAATTTAATTAATTCAAGTGTTAATCTCCCTGTAATTATAAGAGAGCACCCTCGCGAGCCACAATCGAATCTCGTTAGCACGTGTAGCGTATTCATTCGATATAATCGTGGATCGCGAAGGTACGCTAGGAAGGGCCGCGGGATTACGATCGAGTTGGATTAAACTTCCCTGAAAACTCGAGATCCCCAATTATCCTCCATTGCGTTAAGAATTGTCAGCTTTCCGAAGAAGCGGGGCAATTTTCTCTCTCTTCTTCTCTAATAAAATTAAATTAACGTTTCTCTTTCTACTTTCTTCCAGATAATCAAAACTACATCTAACTGCAATTTGTACTAACTTGTTCTCCGTGGTAAGTTTAAATCGATCGAATGATTTCGGTCGACTACGTAGAATTATTGAAGCCATAAAGAGAATATGAGCTACGTAAAATCTGTCAAATCTATCAAATAGATCAGTAAAATCCAACGCGAACGAATCCACCTTCTACTTGTCGCATTTCGTATTTTCAAACTCACGGATGCACTATTGAGATTTATGGCAACTTTAAGTAAAAATTGTGCTAGGGATACTATATAGCGTGATCACACGATGAAAGATTAAAGGATTAAAGTAATACTAGTTAAGATACATGATGCACAAGATGTGCACAAGATGTTCCATCGTATGTATTTAAAAAAAAAAATTTAATTAAATTTGTGAGGTATATTTTTTCTCTCAGCAAAAATTGGATGAAAAGTTTGATTAAAAATTGATTGTATATCAAAAAATAATATCTATTTTGAATAGAATTTCTCTAAATTCGATATCACATACAAAACATTGTTAATAATTTAAAATATTCTATGAAATATGTCGTATTGAAAAGATACGGAATAGAAAAAAAGATAGCGATGGGACATTCTGTATGTATGTACGCATATAAGAGAGGCGATCTCGCGATGCGGGGAGAATACTCAATTAAATATTTCGATTAAGCGCGGTCGGCGATTAGGATAATTGACCATACACCATAGTGCGAGAAGGCGAGAACGGTAAATATTCTTTGTGCAATGTAAACATACATTATATGAGGACCCCACCGGGAAGGATGGGGAGAGAAAATTCGACCGCGTGTGTAAACACGCGAGCACTCTATGCGTGCCGGCGTGCCTGCGAGGCAGTTAGATGTTTAAAATGTAATGCACAGAAACGCGTGGACGTTTATATACGTTTATGTAAGTAACATTAATTGTAAGATGAATATATTGACGAAAAAAGAGAAAATTCAAAGATTATATATATATATATAAATATGAAGAAAAAATATATAGATATACATATATATATTATATATATTGCAATAATTGCCACTGTAAGTTGTCGGAGTGTTTCACGCGTACATATATATATATATATATTGTATATCATTGGATATATTTTATAGGTTAGACCATACGTTTTTGCTAAACCGACGAATCCAGCGATGAAGTTAATACACGACAGCGTACATCTTATATCGATATTATGATTATAAGAGACAGCACTTTCCTTTCTAGCTTTTCCTCGACACATCTGACAAGAGTAAGTATCTACCTATTATTGTGTTTACTGTGATAACATGTATTACTTTTGTCGACGCATTCATATGTGTATAATTTATAAGCGCATATATATTTCTCCGATAAATTACATCATTCGCTCATGTCTACATAGATTCACCTAGATTTATGTCACGTCGAAATAGCTGTGATTTACCGATTGATTTATAATCCTTATTCTCTTAGGAAGATTATTACGATATAATATATTAAATAAATTGGACGAATTAAACACGACTTCGAATATCATGTAAATGCACCAATCTTATATTTCTTTATCCCTTATCCAAGACCTTACTTAACTTCGCGCTTGCAGCTTCAATGATATTTGAAGTAACTCTGTTTTCTCTATATTTTTTAATTTAATTATATAAAATGCATGATATAAATACTCAAATTTCTGTCTTTTTATTTCTATTTTCTAATTCGCAAAAATTTATATAGTTTGAGCACAATATCAGAAAATAGATAAAAAGAAGATTAATTTTTTTACTCATAAATATCTTATAAAAATTTAAGCAAATACAATTTCTGGGGGATTACAAGTGTCCGTAAAAACCGCCATAAATGAGATCGAAACCGATAAAAATCCACGTGTAATCATGCGTACGTGATGATGTTACTAAACTCGGTTACGGTCTCTATTATCTGCCGCATTAAGTTAAAAAAGGATCTTTTATGACGAGAAGAGATTTTGGATGTTTCACTTTATGTTCCAATTTTCGTTGGGACAACAATTCGATAAAAAATAAAATAGCACCAATTACGCGAGATTCAAAAGACATGCTTTGATATATGAGACTTTTATACTATGAGAGATAATATGTCAATTTATCGATAACAAATTAAACAAAAAATTGAATTGAATATGATTTTCGTAACAAATTATCCTGTAAAATAATCCTGTAAAAATTCTGAAAAACGGAGCTAATTATTTTTTTTTTTTTATACAAGCGCATTTTTAAATTTAAAATACGCAAGATTGTTATTAAACGTGACTAAAATTTGAGTTTATATAATTACGGGAATTGAGTTAAGCTTCAAGAGATTATTCAACAATGAAAATAGCATTATGGATATTATTTGGCACGCTGTAAATAAATCATCTCGACTTATCGCGGACGTTGACGTGCATATCTTCGCTCCACCATCTGCGAGTATGCGCTTATATTGCGATTGTTTCTTGTGTGAGAAACCGAAATACGCTACTTGGGCAAAACGCAAAACGCCGCAGTCGTAAAAACGGCGGACGTGACTGGAGCGTTACGCGCGCGACGAAGATTACGAGAAGAAAACGGAAGTGGATTCGGCATAATGCGGGCTGGCGCAGGCGCACTTCGGTGTGTGCACATTATTGTTGCGCTCATCGGGGGGGTATGTCGGAGAAAAGAATGTGCATCTGCATGCAATTCCGCGCGCAAGGATACCGCAAACGCGCAAAGAACGCCACTCGCATCTTAAATGCATTACACATACGAATGCGATGCAATAAAAATATGCCATTCTTTATTTACACGTATCCGCATATATGCGAGATATACCGCAGATCCATCGGCTGGGCCATTAACCGGCGAAGCAAAGTCAAGGGAAGTTAGTTGTTCGATTATTTATAAACATTAATAATTATTTAACGGTGACCATTGTTTTAAAGCAGATAGATAGAAAGAAAAAAAGAAAAACATTTAGTTTATAAAGGTCTTTTCAAATTAAAATAATGCAATCTCCACCCAAATTCTCCAAATTTTATCGGAAAATTTAAGGAGGCTTGACAGATATATTTGCGACTATGTGCACCACAAAATTATTTGTATCAGTGTGCACACATTTTCTTAGCGCATTCTTTGCATCCTTTGCACCGGTCATGAATACGCAATCTTCTAGTTTGCACACCGCAGGAAGAATCCGGTCGTGATACCGATTGCGAGAGCCAACCCGACAAATTTCTATCGTTTATACGTGCGACGGAATCTCGATACCGGGAATCATTATCGGTGATGACATTAAAGGCATGCTACCGGAGACTCGAACCAAACGACACCCGATATCTCTGAAATCGTAACACTGTTTTAAATTGCCTCTACGATTTGTGCATAATTAAGCATCGCAATGCTTTCCTTGTATAGTATATCAAAGGATTTTATCAATAAATGCCAATCAAATATAAGCTATATTGTCTTTTTACAAACGTAATCGCGTGTTATCCTTGATATATCGTAAATATCAATTCACTGTTTTATGAAAAGCCTATTGACATCAAGATATAAACTACAAATTCAATATAATAAAATATAAACTAGAATAATAATACACTGCAGACTAAGAAGTAAGAGATTTTAGTATGGATTTAAAAAAATAGAATAGAGGCAAAAAATAAGTCATAAAATATGATTCAAGATTTGACGGGTAACAGATCATAAGAAATTATACAGTAATATTTGATAAGATTGTGGATGTAAAAATGTACAAATTTTATGGTACAAATTTTAAATATTATCCAACGGCAATGATGCACGGAAATAAGGATGAAAACGGAAGAACAACAAAGAGTTGCAAACTTTGGCGATACGGCAAAATTCGCAAACTGCAGCGAACCTGCCGGTTAAATAAAGGCACGAAAAAGTTTATAAAGGTCTTTTCAAATTAAAATAATGCAATCTCCACCCAAATTCTCCAAATTTTATCGGAAAATTTAAGGAGGCTTGATAGATATATTTGCGACTATGTGCACCACAAAATTATTTGTAATCTTTTGTATCAGTGTGCACACATTTTCTTAGCGCATTCTTTGCATCCTTTGCACCGGTCATGAATACGCAATCTTCTAGTTTGCACACCGCAGGAAGAATCCGGTCGTGATACCGATTGCGAGAGCCAACCCGACAAATTTCTATCGTTTATACGTGCGACGGAATCTCGATACCGGGAATCATTATCGGTGATGACATTAAAGGCATGCTACCGGAGACTCGAACCAAACGACACCCGATATCTCTGAAATCGTAACACTGTTTTAAATTGCCTCTACGATTTGTGCATAATTAAGCATCGCAATGCTTTCCTTGTATAGTATATCAAAGGATTTTATCAATAAATGCCAATCAAATATAAGCTATAATTATTGTCTTTTTACAAACGTAATCGCGTGTTATCCTTGATATATCGTAAATATCAATTCACTGTTTTATGAAAAGCCTATTGACATCAAGATATAAACTACAAATTCAATATAATAAAATATAAACTAGAATAATAATACACTGCAGACTAAGAAGTAAGAGATTTTAGTATGGATTTAAAAAAATAGAATAGAGGCAAAAAATAAGTCATAAAATATGATTCAAGATTTGACGGGTAACAGATCATAAGAAATTATACAGTAATATTTGATAAGATTGTGGATGTAAAAATGTACAAATTTTATGGTACAAATTTTAAATATTATCCAACGGCAATGATGCACGGAAATAAGGATGAAAACGGAAGAACAACAAAGAGTTGCAAACTTTGGCGATACGGCAAAATTCGCAAACTGCAGCGAACCTGCCGGTTAAATAAAGGCACGAAAAAGTTTGTACCTTAAACTCAGCGAGAGAGCAACCGAGTAAAAAAGCCTCCGTACGAACGAAACTTGGAATTTTAAGGGCAAACTGTGAAGATTTACATAACCATATAAACGTTCGCGCACGTTTCGGTTGGATCGGTTAGGAACTTGGCGCGTAAAAATACATGTCTTGCCGTAAGTTTACCGAACCGTATAAAATCTATGCTGATCAACCATGGTACTTATATAGAAATATTGGTATTTTAAGTTATTGCATTACTATATTAAACAATATTGATATTTATTTAAAATAATGATTTGATCTCCATGAAGAATTAAGAATTTGATTCAATAAGCTTTATAGATCTTTTCTGAATTTATATACGACATTAAAATTGCTGCGCGCTTCAATATTGAAGTAAGAAATAAACTGATCGATCGCAATATATTATACGTTCGTAGAATGCACATTGCACGAATCCGGCAAGCAAATAAGAGAGATGAATGTGTACGACTAATGAGGTGTAACAAGTACGACCGGGTAACAACAAGTGAAATTGAGCGCCACGATATGCGCACGGTTTTGTATATCGCGCGTCGATTTTACGTCATACATTACAGCATGTAACGCAATCGCGTTTGCGACAGCAAGAGATTAATGACCAAGTTCTGTATCGAACAACGTTTCTTTAGATGACCCGCGTACGCGGATGCACATACCCTTCTCATTCTCAATAATATTCGCGTTCTTTCCAACATTATCCTGTAGGTCAAATTAATTAAACATTACATCGCGAAATTATTCTCTCTCCTGCACGATTAAAGAGAAACCAGTTATGATAAAGATATTTACGAAACTATATCGATATATATATATATATCAAGTTGAATTTATATAAAATATTAAAAAACTATTATATACCAATTTTCCAGAATTGCGATTCTTACGATTAACAAATATAACAGAATAAATCCTGACTTTTTCTTTAAAAAATGTAAGCCGTGTACATAAGATCAAATGTTTTGGAAAGAACTTGCATAATACACGTTGCCACAATACCGTATTTCTTCGTGAAGGAATCGCGATTAAACACCGATAAAGCGCAGACCGGAGATAATTTGCGCATTACTCGGAACGTCGCAATCACGCGTGACGCTATTAAGGCTCATTTCGCACGTCAGTATTAATTTAACCGGATGAGTAGCACGACGGGGTAGCATCGGAAATTCCACGCGCTACCCACGTTGACGCGATTAGGGTTGTTTTGTCATGCATTTTCTCGCGGCTGCATTTGCACGTTTCATCGTGCTCCTGCAAACCGCATAATAAATAACAATGCCAGCGCATTAAGCGATCTACGATCCGCGCTATTTCGCAGCTGTACGACAAATACCTTTAAATAGTTGGATAAACAGAAAGAAAAATAATTTCAGTTATTCCAGCAATTATATTACATTTGTCTAAAATCTTATATTTCCTCAGCAAAAACGATGCATTTTATTATTTATGAATAATTAAATAATAAAACAATAGCTAATTGATCATGTAATTGTAATTTCTATTTCCGTCTCTTAAAATCGACAATTCTAATCATTAATTAATAAACAATCTTTAATTATAAAAATCTCCATAATACGCGATCAAAAATAATTTAACTGATGGCTGTAATTTTAACATGCAATATTTTACAATT